TAGCTCAGCAGCTCGAGTCCTAACCAAGGACCTAGGAACTGTTAAGGTATCGTCGGAGGATGTAAGCTGTTCTGAGTAAGGTGGTTTTTTGTAGAGTCAAAATGTTCAAGTCCAGCAAATTTAGAATTTCTAAATAGCGGGATAGCCCTTTGGGTATTGCTCCAAGGGCTCCAATTACAATCGGGACAACACACGTTTTCTTTCTTTTTATTATTATTATTATTATTATTATTATTATTATTATTATTATTATTATTATTAATTATTATTATTAATTATTATTATTATTATTATTATTATTGATGTTGTTTTATTGTTCTATTATGATTTGTCACAAGGTCGGCCAGATGTTTAGACTGGATTTGGTATTTTTGTTGTTATTGATAGTCTTATTGTCATCTAAATTTGAAACATAGTTAGTGACAATAGCAAAGCCACCAGTAACACTGGCAGTATATCTAACAATCTTATACATGTGAGATGATATTAAATCATAGTGTTGACAATATACCAAAATGTAAATAAGTCACAATTACAAATAATTTGTGATAGATGCTAAAAGAACAACTAGTAAATTCATTATAGATTGAATAGAATTCTTGGTTTATTTGAGGCACTTTGTACTGAAACAATAATTTGACAATAGATATTGGATACTGTGACCATTAGAATGTGTGTACTTTTAACTCCATTAAGTAGGACACTTCTAGGACAGGCTTCCAGAGCTCTTTTATGGTCTACAAACTAAGCCTAAATCCAACTAAGAGTTGTATTGACATAAAAGGATATCCCTTTTCCAGAATTCTCCTTTAATCTTTTTAAGAACTAGGAAAGTGAGGACACCTAGAAATCTGACACACAGCAGGACCAATACAGATTAGGCAAAAGGACTATATCAAAGTTGATTTAATATATTTATTAAAGAATCAAGCAGAAATAATAGACATAACCATCTGCTTTTTTAAAATACAGAACTGGCTATCTGAAGTTATCAGAAACCGAAGCTCTTGTGGATTTATTTGATTTCACAAAATGATCTGGCATTTTGACAGCCACATATTGGAAAATAAAATTTTATCAAACTGAAATATTCCTAGGACATGAAACTAACTTCTGAGGAACAACATTCAAACAGACCAATACAAAAACATAGACCAACCATTTGAAGAAGTTGGTCCAGATATTTCTTGTGATATCTGCTTGGCATAGGACTGAGTAATACAGAAATTACCTTAAGATGTGCTTTAAATTGATATAGATTCTGACCATGTAATTTGTTCAAAACATGGTTTATCAAGAAAGCAAGAAGGTTTGCTGCATCAAAGATGCAATAAAACATGGGAAGAAAAGGCTCCTTTTGTGTACATGGTAAATTTTCTATTTAATGGATCTGTAGGGCAAAAGAGATGCCCATGAGACCCAAATGTTCATTGAATGCCAAATGGGATTTTACACATGGCATTATTCACACATAAAATGGATAATACTTGTGCAAAATAGCAGATGGGATTTTGTCCATTGCATCCAGTCTGCTAAACTGATATTTTAGTTAATTTTTGTTTTCTATACATCCATGAAAATCTAAAATCTGTGTGCTATTATACTAATGAAATCTCTGTCAGAAATCAGCCCAACCTGTTTATTGGTATCTCTGAAAACATCTTCAAAATATTTTTAACATATGAGTTTAGCAACAGGTAAATTAAGATTTTATCTTATGTTGGTGTTATATTTTATATACTAGGACTTATTGCCACAAAATTTCAAATTTAGCATCATTGAATATCCTTATGGTGTACTTGCACGGATTCACACAAGTGAATGAGCTTGGAAAATGAATTCTGCTTATGAGGGTTTTCCAGGTTTTTTCATATGATCCACAGGCAACATTCTTTTTTTAAAGGGCATGTTTGTGCATAAAAATAATTATTTTTGTTTAGAATTTAATGAAAATCCATCAAAGACATTATGAATAAATATGCCTAGGTGTATATATTCAATCATTGTCACTGTTGAGAATGAAACATTTGAGCCAACCTGGATAAACAATGCCTAAAACCTGTGAGTCTCTTCCCATCCCTTCACACAGGTTTTTTCTTTATTTCCCAAGGAAAAATAAAGAAATGGCCAAATCAGACAAAGACTTCTGGAGGATCAGGTTGTTGTGGATGCCACAGCTCATAATTTACTTCTTCCACGCTCTTGAAGCAACACTCCTGCTTCTGCTTCGTGGGCAGATTTTAAAAATATGAACCATGAGTCTGTCATACTTTTTAAGGTGCTTTGATCCTTTCTTTTCTTCACTTTATACTTATGGAAATTGGTTTTTAAAATCCTCATGCAGTTACCTTTTTGCAATAGCCAGCCCATTTTAATAAATACCCAATCTCTTTTTTCCCCATCTTTCTTTCCTTTCCTGTAGAATTTTCTTTTTAAAAAATTATCTATATGTAAATGTCTATTTAAATGGAGATTACAAGTATATTAAAGACATAATTGTCAGTGTCACAAAGCAGCCATCAGTGTTGTTATATTATTATCCTTATTACTATAACAACTGGCCATACTATAACATCAGGAAAAACAATTTTTAAAAGATTTTTCTTATCCAAGGGAAAGTGTTATTCCCTTTTTGCAGAACAGGAAAACTGAGGTTGATGTTTTGCAGCATTCATAATAACGACAGAAGTGAACAGCACCTTAAGTTTTATTACTTAGGAGAAAATGATATTTTCAAGATTCAAGATTTCAGTCCATTTTCCCTGGACTCTATGGTAATATGGGGAAGCAAAATTATTTGGATCCTGTTTATCAAAAAAGAAAACAAAGCCATAGATGCATCTGTTATTCTTTAACTACAAGGAGTAAAACCTTGGTGAAAACATTGGTCTTGAATCATCTTTTGTGACTGCCTATAAGTTTGAATACTTTATTTGCCCATTCTACTATTTCTTACCATGCCCTCTGTATGGCATAAGGGTTATTTTTCCCAATGCTTTTCTGAGCATGCACAAAGTCTGAATTAAAGAATCAAAAGCGCCTCAAAAGTGATGGTAGTTCTTGCATCTTCAAAAATGAAGAATTGTTCCCAGTATCCGACTAGTTCAAAAACATGCCCAGCCACAAGCTAAGCAAAGACACAAGCAAAGTCAGAACCCCCTGCAGTGTTGTATAAAAATTGTGAGACACCTCATCTAGGAGCAAGCCATGTTGAAAGCATTATTCACATATATTTTTGCCTTCTGGTGAATGGGAAGAGCCCTAAACACTTACTTCCAACTTCGGAATTAGAATGGTGGACGAGGAACCAATTTGGAAATAGCTAATATAGTAGATCTTCAGTTTCTTAGTTTCTAGGGCAGTGATGACTAACCTTTTCTGGACCGAGTGCCCAAAGCGTGCATTCACATGTGCATGCAAATGGACATGTGAATGCGCACATGCATGCCAGAACCCCCAAAATGCAATGTGCTCCACTCGCATGCACCCCGCCTCTCCACATGCACCCCGCCCCCTGCTCATGCACAGCAGAGCTGAACTGGGGTGACAGCTCGCGTGCTGTAAGAGAGGGTGCTGTGTGCCACCTCTGGCACGCATGCCATAGGTTCACCATCATGGTTCTAGAGTACTGTATGTCTTGCAGGGCATTGTGTCCTGATGGTTCCCAGAAATCCCATCCAAGATTTGCATTGGCCAAATCAGCAGGCTTATGTCACCTCCTCATGCTCTGTATCTTTGATGTGCTGCAGGAATAGTCTTGAGGAAAAGAAGGAAGACCTGCAACTAAGGCAATGGTCAGATAAAAAGAATTTGAGTGTGAACCGGAACTGTAACCTGAGTAAGCGTCTTAGAAAAGACCCTCCTTAGTTCTCATGAAGATAAAGGAGATTTTAGACTTCTGAGTTGCTAGCCAACCCATAACTGCCTTGGAGGTTCAGCAGTAAATCCAAATCAACCTTTCCAACAGCCAAATTTGTATGATATATTCCTGGCTTTACCCAGGTCAAAGTCACTGATAATCAGTTCAATTATTTTAGCCAAGATGCTACAAGCAGCTGCCAAAAACTGTGAAGTCCTGCTGAAAGAAACATGGAGACCAAGGCTTGTGTAGCATTAACTGTTGAATGACTTTGAGTGAGTATGGGAAGGACCTGGGGAAACCATCAGCTTAAAGTGATTAATGGCCCGTAGGTAAATTGAAGAGGAGACAGAGGCAGTGATGCTCAATGGTAGATGCAAGGTTTGGGACCAGTCCTTATCTCTCCTTTAGTCTGTTCCAGTAGTTCTCAGACATTTTGGTCTCAGGATTCCTTTATATCCTTGAAAACAATCAATGAGCTTTGGTTGATGTTGGTTGTATCTATAGATATTTACTGCCTCCAAAATTAAAACTTGCCAATCCCCTGAAAGAATCTTGGGGACATCCAGACACCACTTTGAAAATAATTGGGCTAGTCCATATTAAAAAGAGAGAGAGAGAGAGAGGTAGGATTGCCCTGCCTTGAGGTTCCTGCTTGAAATATAAAAACCCAAAGAACAGATAACTCAAAATAGGTAACTTTAGATAAGAGTCCCATAAGCCAATGTTCATGAACCAGCATCCCCAACCCCCCCCCCCCCCATGATAATCCATCATTTCCACATCCAAGGAGATCTGGGTGGGCTGCATAATCTAAAGACCATTGCTGAGGGAGGAAGTATCCATTGAGCACCACTGCCTCTGTCTCCTCTTCAACTTACCCAGGGCAGGGCCATTAATCACTTGAAGCTGGTGGCTTTCCAGACAAGCTCCTCCAGAAGGAAGGAGCGCACATTCCTGGCACCACTGGACTAATTCAATTTATTTCAGCGGCTCTCGCTTCTCGCGGAATATTCATGAGGAGCGGGATGAGTACCTCTGGCTCGGGCAAACAGCCGCCACTCGGAACAAGAGCAAGCTGGGGGAGGAAGAAAAGGGGGAAAATAGAGACTTTCTCTCACCCCAAATATACCGAAAAGCTTTTTTTTTCCCCCAATTCCCACCTCGCGTTCTGAACTGAAGGCGACCCCTCCTCCTCCTCCTCCTCCTCTTCCCCCTCCTCCCGCCTACCTGCGAGGGCTTTCGGAAAACAACGGAACTGTGAGAGAGGTCTCCCCCTCAGAGGCGAGCTATCTCTGAAGAACTAACCCAAGACAAGGGACGGGGAGAAACCCCACCCCCCACCCCACTCCCGGGTCTGCCCGCCATTCCTTTCGCCTTCCTTTCATTCACGCTTTCGGTTTGTTTCTCCTCCGCCGGTTGTTTCTGGCTGCCTGCCGCCGAACCAGAAGGAAGCGAGGGAGGACAGAGAGAGAGGGGGGGGCGCTCAAAAACTACGACGTCCGTCCGCCCGCCCGCCGGGAGCTGGAGAAGCCGCGGAAAAGTCCTGCCCCGAACTGCCGCCTGTTCCGCGTTCGCCACAGAAGCGCCGGGCTGCAGGCGGCAGGAGCGAGTCGGGTTTTGCCATCAGCCGCTTCTTGCGCGGGGCTGGAGTTTTTGCCGGGACCTTGCGAAGAAAAGCGCCGGAGAAGCGCCGCTTTCCCGCTCCGTGCCTTTGGTAGGGGGGTCGAGGAGGTGAAGGAGAGCGAGGCTACTGGGAGGAAGGCGAGCCGGGGACGTGGAGAAGGGCTCCGCTTCTCTCAATTACCTCAGTCCCGAGAGGAAGGGAACGCTACTACCTCGCCGGGTAAGGGGATGCGCAGCGGCGGTTCTAACGGGAGGGAGGGTCGTCGTAGAAGCCGGTCGTCTCTGGCGAAGGATCCGCGCTGGGGAAGTCAATAGGGAAGTGGATGATGGAACGTCCTGAAGAAAAGGAGCTGCGGGGGCGGGTTGAACAGATGGGTGATTGAGTGAGGGAGAGAACTGTAACACCTAATGATCCCGCTCCCCATGTTTTCTTTGAAGTAAGGAGACACTCCAACTAGGTAAGAATCCATCTCCTCCCCACCTTAGTTTCCCAACCCTGAAGAAGCAAGTTCTCCCATTCCCCTTTCCAATCATTTTTTTTTCCACTTTTGGGGCAGGAATGCAACTATGAAGGCAAGACAACCCCACTCTCTTCCTGTATCCTCCTCACCCCTGTTCACCTGCTCTGGGTATTGTGGTAGGGAGGAGGATCCTATTCTCTACAGCAGCTTTACTTGAGTTGTTGCCTTCCAGGTGGTATTTATAGGAGCTGGCCTGGGTGGACCAGACTGGGATTTAGGAGAGTGGGTCCACTATATCTGGAGGTCACCTGGCTGCCTAGAGAGATAGCCAGAGGGCAGCAACTCCTCCAGTCTTCTGGAGCTTCTTCTCACTGTGTGTTTTGTCTCTAGCCACTGACTGCAGCACCTTTTCCCAAAACAGCCACTTCCCCCCAAAGGGGATGATGGTAAGAATTGGCTTATCAGGCAAAGGCAGGTGGGTGAAAGCACAGGCCACTGTCTTCTACTGCTGGTTCATGACCTTTGAATGGCTTGTTTGAAGAAGGAGGGTGCCCAGATAAATAAAGGGAGAAGGGAGGTGTGCAGTTAGAGACAGTGGCCACAGTCCCTTACTGCTTGGCCCACCTCAGTGCCACTCCTAAGTGACCAGGTCAAAGGAAGAGGTACGCGGCTCAGGGGCCCACTTTGTGCTACCCAAAGAAAGATGACTGAGCAGGCAGAAGTGGCAACTTTCTCTCCAGCGGTCCACCTTATTGTGATATCCAGGAAAAATGAGTTTGGGGGTGGGGGGGAAGGAACAGCTGCTACATTCCCTTGCTTGTTTGCGCATTTCTCCACCTTCCCCCAGGAACGTACCAGCCAAAGAGAGAAGGTCAAACATGTCAGCAACTGTTTCTTCTAGGAGAAGCTAATGCCACTAAATAATCAGTCAGCTTTTCTTTCCTTCAACAGGATTGATGGGCTGAGTTGTTGCTGGTTCCAATTTCTTACTTGCCTTAGCAGTCTGAAAAGTATTGCCTACTTTCACCTCCTAGTTTGGAGGGTAATCAGGAGGCAATTTTGCCCAAAGGGAGGGAAAAGAGCCATCTTTGCTTCTTTATTTGTCCATCCTTCACTTGCAGCTTTGAAGGACCAGGCTTGTTGACTTAATCACCACTATGTTATATTCAATACAGGTGATTGAGGGAGATTTTCATCAAGGACCAATCTTTTATGCTTCATAATCCAAAAGGAAAAATAAATGGGGGGCGGGGAGGTTGTGTTTTCTAGGAAGAGCAGTGTGGTCTCAGATCTCCCTGTTTTGATTCCAAGAACATGAAAACAAGAAGCCACTTGTTTGCTTGCTTTTTCATCCAGGAAGTAGCAATATTTTTATTTGGTTTCTTAATGTAATGCCACTTCATTTTTCTTTGAAATATAATGGCTATTAGGAGGTTGTGTTTGTAAGTCACCTTGAATCCAGCCGCTGTAATTATGGGGTACAAGGATAAATATAGAAATAGATTTGAATGATATGATCTCCATATATCTTGAAGGTGAAAGAAGAAGGTAGGTAGGTAGGTAGGTAGGTAGGTAGGTAGATAGATAGATAGATAGATAGATAGATAGATAGATAGATAGATAGATAGATCTGTGTATAATGTAAGTCAAAGGTACTGCATTCTGTAAGAGAGATAGTTAAGTGCACATCTAAAACGGAGAATTAAGGAAATTCGAAGGAAATCATCTAAAGATATTGTAATGCTCTTTGAGTTAATTTAAGTCTGGGCCCAAGTCATAGTATTGGTCCTTAGCACCTTCAGACATCTGAAGAGTTATATTCCTTTCCTGTTTAGGTCTAAGATCTTACTCCAAGGATCTTATGCTATAAATATACAGAAATGGGAGTCTTTTTTCCAGTTGTGCTATGGTGACACTGGAATACTTTAAGGTGTTATACCTAGAACCTATTTCCTTCTTATATCAGGTGAATACATTTGTATTTACTTAGAACTTTGAACGTGAAGCTGTTGCCAATGTGTTTTCATTTTATTGTTTGTTTTAATGAAAGCTCTCTTGCATTATAATTTGTATATGGTATGCAAAATGTAAGCAAATTTTAAATATGATTCTTTTACAATGAAGGACTATGGAATTTCTTTCTAGCTTACTGGAGTTGGTTCCATGATGACTTCTGAACACATGGAAATAGGATAGAATGGAGAAAATAGTATCATGAGAAGCCTATAGACAAAATATGCATATCTCTCAAAAAGTTGAGTTCTTCCATAAATCTATTAGAAGTGCTAACTTCAGGGTGGCAAAGAAGGGGAAAAACAAGGATGTTATAGAAAAAATTACCCCAGTGGTAATCTTCATGGTGATTATAGGAAATGTACCTTCTAGGCTTTTAAATATAAGTGTATTAAAAAGCAGTGAACATAGCAAAATAAGTAGAGTTCTGTGTATAGACTGACTGACAAAAATATAGGATTCTTTTCAAGGAAACACATAAAGAAATGGCCTTTGAGGGCAGAATGGGAGATTCTTACAAGTTAGAACGTGGTTATATTTATGCAACTCAGCTTACAATGGACTTTATGTAGAATATAGAATATTGCTTTTAAAAATAAAATCATATGTAAGGATGGAGAATTGTAAAAGTATTGAAAAATTAAGATGTATTTTGAAAGAACAAAAGTGCATCTATCATACAACTTGAGTTTTCAGTGAATATACAAAAATATGGTTTTGGTACTTTAAGCAAAATGAGGTGAAAAAGAGATGTCCCCCTCCTGTTTGGGTGGGAAGTTTCTTCCTTTCATCCAGAGTCAGTTTTATGGGTTTCCCCTGCTAAATTTAATAGGTGAGATTGAACTGATCATGGCAGACCCTCTATAAGATGCTTTCTATTTCTGTTTCTAAACATAAAGGAGGGGGAGAGGTAGAAAGGATGAACTTAGGTGCAAGAAAATAGATGTTTAAAAGATACGGAAGGAAGAGATCCAGTGGCTGGGACATAAATCAGCCAGAATATATGGAGCATTGATGAGAATAGTTCTTTCACCCTTTTTTTTAAAGTGTCCACTTTAGAAAAAAGAAAAAGAAGACTGATTATTGGCATCCAGCTCTGAAACCAAGGCAGCTGAGGCCGAGAGAAGCCAAAGGGTGCAGTTCTTCTTAGTTTAAAAACAGCAAGGCATTCTTTGCCAAAGATGGCTGTAAACACTGAATAAAGATTTCATTGTAAGTTGGTGTGACTAGAATAATTAGTCAGTTAATTGTTTATTCGGATTCAAGGTGCAGTAATCAGGAAAGCATTTTTAAATGCAACAAGTAAAAGAAAGACAAGTTAATCAATTTTTAAAATAATATTTATCAACTATCATTACTATATTCAAAGCCTCCCAAACTGAACTAATTTATCTCCCTTTTTGGAAGCAAGTCTTGATGTCCGATATAACTTTAAAATCTTATGTATACTTTGGTTTAATGCAAAAATTATAGCTGTCTCCCCTTTCCATCTTAATTAAGAAAAAACATATAAATGAACTGTAGAATGAACATTTTAAATAGTTCAAGTAATGCCAATTAATATATTCTTCTTATATGCTCACTTTATTGCTAGCTCAGCATGGATGAAAGCTAATGGTGCCAGCTTTTGTGCTACTCTAACGTTCTTCAAGCAGAATTGCAAGATTCAAGAAGTAAACTGTTGTTTTTTAACACTGTAATTATTATGTCTGAAGCAAGTTTCTTTACAAAAAGATTCGCTTTATTAAACCCCCAACTTGCATTATAGAAAAGGGTTTTTTTTTAACATCATTATCCATCTTTCATGATTTCAGGAGCATGAAATGTTTCTTTTTAAAATGACTATTATTTATGTAGCACCATCATTTACACATAACTGTTTTACAGTATAAAAAGGAGAGTCTCATCTTCAAGGATCTTATTTACTTTCAGGAGTAATTAAGAAAATTAAGGGGATGAAAGTTCCTCCCCTGTATGAGAGACAGATGTTAGAAAATGCAGCTAACATACTTACAACACAAACCTAAACGTACTTATCCAGATGCAAGCCCAATTCTGCTCAATAGGGCTTAAACTTTAATGTGTTTAAACGTACAGCTTGAGTTCGTGGAGATAAAGACTTGCCAGAAGGAAGGGATTAAACAAGGTCTTCCTATAAAAGATGAATTTAAAAAATGTGAAGGAAAGCAGCTGGTCTTTCAAACAATACTGAGTTCCTAGCATTCAGTAGACAAAAGGAAAGGAGGACAAAATGCACAACAGTGTAAAGAGGTGGCGCAGTGGTTAGTGTGCAGTACTGCAGCTACTTCAGCTGACTGCTAGTTCAGCAGATCAGCGGATCAAATCTCACCGGCTCAAGGTTGATTCAGCCTTCCATCCTTCCGAAGTGGGTAAAATGAGGACCCAGATTGTTAGGGGGCAATATGCCATTGAGTATACTGTCTTTGGTATAAGCCGCCCAGAGTCCTCGGAGAGTGGGCGGCATAGAAATATGACTGACAAATAAATAAATAAATAAATAAATAAATAAATAAATAAATAAATAAATAAATAAATAAATAAATCAACTTTATAAGCAACAGCTAACATGCAGCTTTGGATAACAACAAGGTGGTAAAAGGCTTCGGCCTAGAACTAGACAACCAAGTTGCAGGAAGAAATAATTCTTCAGTACTCCATGATTTGACAATCAAGATTCTATGATACACATTTCTTTTTCTTGAAAACATGTTGATTTTCATTTTGC